GTTAATAGTTCCACAATTTCCCATTTGAGTTCTTTCAGAAGTCTTGGTGAATGCCATCTGGTCCTGTTGACTTGTTACTGTTAAGTTTATCAATTTGTTCAAAAACCTCCTCTAATGACACCTCAATCTGGGACAATTCCTCAGATTTGTCACCTAAAAAGAATGGCTCAGGTTTGGGAATCTCCCCAGTATCCTCAACTCTGAAGACTGAAGCAAAGAATTTATTTAGCTTCTCTGCTATGACTTTATCATCTTTAAGTGCTCCTTTAGCATCTTGATCATACAAGGGCCTCACTGGTTGTTTATTGAGCTTCCTGCTTCTGTGTAAGCTATCAGAATGAATTATTATTGTTATTATTTTGCAAAAACTGCTTACCATTTTTGACCGGTTCGAAGAAAACATTAACTATTGTGGTTTTCAAGTAACTGACATTTCTCCATTATAAAAAATATTTTCTACATTATTAAAGGGAATGTTAATTAGGCAAAAAAAGGTGAATATATAAATAGCACTGTACAAAAGCAGTAAAAATGAGATGCTTACACAACTGTAACACTGATATGTCTATTTCCAGAAGATGAGTTGCAAAAATGGTATATTTTTACATAATTTGCCGGATGATGCTTTGCATATATATTTATTTTACACAGATGATGGTTCAGTAGTATTGCCATGGGAGGATTTATACAATTTTGTGTAAATACTTTGCAAAAACTGAAATGCATATTTCTTCCCCTATCGACAGCAGGAGCAAATATATACCCCAAGAACAATTAGTTGTCAGACAAAAATAAACTGATATTTCTTTAGAAGCAGACATATTGTTAACGTTAGTACATTTAGACAATCTGCTGCTAACATTTATTCTGATCAATGGGATGCACCTTAGATCAGTTTTAAGTATTTTAATAATTATGGATCTGCTATATCTCCCAATATGAGTGTCTACCAGAATAAATATGGTGTGTTGACGTAATATTGTACAAGATCTTTGTCAGACTGTTGATTAATGATGATACAGAGTGAATCAGCCTCCAGAACATTCTATACCATACACTGTTCTCCCAAAGGAGAGACTTGGAGAAATCTTCACCAGACATACAGCAGATTAAGTAAATACAATACGAGCTGTGATCTGATTTTCTTTTGATCCACATTGAAAACATACTCCAGTCTGTTGATAAATATGAAAATTTAAAATTCTTGGTTTTGTATTTGTATGTTTCACTAGTTATAATTCAGAGACAGATTGGGTTTCGTATGTATTGTAATAGGTTTGCCACAGAAATCAAAGAGCCAATAAAAATAACACTCTTTATAATATTTGCCACTAAGGGTATGTCTACACAATAGCGCATACCTCAAAATAAACTACACAATTTGGGCAACACAAATTGAAAATAGCTTATTTTGAAATTTGGCACTGTCTACACAGCACTTATTTAGAAATAAATCACTATTCCGCTACTTATACCATAAGGCTTACAAGAAGTTGGAGTAAGAAGCCCATTATTTCGAAATAACAGGCTACTTGTGTAGACAGCGCATAACATTATTTCAGAATAATGTAGACGTACCCTAAGAGAATATTAACAGCATTCTTGGGACCTGCATAAAACTGTGCATGTTATTAAAAGTACAGTGATTATCATGATATTTAGTATATCAACTTGTGGAAGAAACAAATAAATACCTATAACAAAAAACTCATGTGTATTTAGCAGGGTTTCCCCTGTCCCCCCCCCCCCCTTTCTTTTTTTACTTTACAATGTGTGCAGCAAGACAAATTTTAAGCATCTGAATACTTTTTTCTCTCATGTTTTTGCCAGGGTAGTGGTTCAGGAGTATGCTGTACCCCAGGGGGTATATATAGAGATCTTTCAGAGGGCGCATCAACTCATCATTTGCCTAGTTTTACAATAGTTTACTATCAATGTCAGCACAAACTAAAATTGCATACAATCACATGTTTATACTGCTCTATATAGTAAGTACAATATTTATACTGTATTACAATTGATTTCTTTTATAATTATACAGTTAAAATTGGAAAATAAGCAGTTTTCCAGTAACAGTGTGCTGTAATCCTATTGTAATTTTATGTCTGATTTTGTAAGCAAGGAGTTTTCACGTGAAGCGGAACTTGGGGGTCGCAAGACAAATTAGACTCCTGAAAGTAGTCTGGAAAGATCAAGAGCCATTGAGCTAAGGTAGTATTGGTGCACCAAAAGTATTTCAGGACTGTGTTCAATCCAAGCATGGATGATTACGTTTTCCCATAGCACTTATTTCTTGAACTGTTATATCTACCATTACCAGCCAGATTCTCAATCTGAATGTTGTAAAGAGACTGAAATCTGGCCACAATTTCCACAGCTGGCCATGCACTTCTCTCCTCCTCTTGCATATGTTGTAGCTGCTTTATAGTACCCAATTTCTGTCCAAGAAATTCAACTGCCTAGCCCCACGACTCAGGCTATTTGAATATGATAACTAAAGTTTTATTAACGAATCTTGCACTGCAGACATTCACAAGCTCCTGGATAAATATATCAGATAAGGACCTACTATTCTAGTTTCTGCTGTTCAGATATGTGAAATGTTTGCTGAATATAGAAAGAACAAGCTTACTTACACCAGAATAATGTTTCCAGCTCTAAACGAGCTAGCTGGAAAAATTAGCATTTAAGCATAGTGTACTCTTTGGTTAATAGCAATCAAATTAATGAATTGAAATGAGCAGGATTAATTGCAGAGCATTGCAAGCTATTACTCAAAAAGAGTAAGGAGATCAACATCTAGTCTCATAAGTAGCAGAGTGCTCATTTGTTCCATTTATATAAACTACAACTTGAGCAACAAGAGTAGTTGTTGAAAAATATGGTGAAGCCCATAAGGAGGTCTAGAGAGGCGCAGGGATCTCAACTCCTTGATATAAATAACATTTAGGACATAACTGAGCACTAGTAATTAAAGTTACTTTCCAAAATTGGTCGAATGTGAAACAGATCAACAAAAGTTAATTATAACTAGCTGGAAATCTATGACATAAAACTTATAAAGAACTTAGGCCCAAACTAACAAGAAAAAAGACAGACAGATCAATCAGTGGTGCAGCACTTGTAAACCAGTGACACAGAGTAACTTATGAAGTGGTTGCATGATGCATAAATCAACAATAGGCTTATAAATCACTGACATTCTGAAGTCTATTGCATGTTTTATACAACAAAGGCTTGATATATTAAATTGCAAATTATAAAATTACAAAAGCAATTATTTATAAATCAAGGCAAGCTCATCAATCAGTGCGAACACATCTTTGAAGCGAGAAATATTAATATAATTTATTGCCGGCATCCTACAAATAAGGTGCTTGATCCTGTTTTTTTCTTTCTTTTTTTTTTCAGCAGAGGAGGCAGCATTAGCAGTGCAGAATATTGGATTGGATACTTTATCATCAAATGTATAAGAATTCTATTCTAGCAGATTTTAACTAAGTATGGCTTACATGGTGACTTCCTTGTGGAAGACAAATGAATGTGTTTGAATCAATGTTCTTATTAGATTTTTATTTTAAACAAGATTTATATATTAGGGAAATCTTTGGGAGGTTTAAAACTATTTTGAGCTTTTATGATTTCATGATATGTTATATAAATAAGATTCAAGTGACATTTCTTGATTAAACTTTATCATATGATTTTATACCCAGAGAGAGATCATATATACGTAAATTTCTTTCATTTGAAATATTTTACTTTTAAAGGGTTATAAAACTGCTTTTCCATTTAACTAAAATGAGAAAATGGAAAATGTTCTAGGCGCCAATTCAATAATCCATTTTCATTCACCAAAGCACTTAGAGACAGTTCATAAACATTTTGTGAAACCGGGGCTCTGGTAAGTGAATTTTACATGAGTGTTGGCATTTTTGTCAAGGTAAAAGGCTTAACTGAGGCAAATGTAATGGATCCAATTGTCTCTGCCACTTTGATAGATTTGCTTAGCCTTCCAATCTTTTCGAATATAGGAAAAGGAGAAACTGTGGCTGATCTAGGTAACTGGAATGTAAATGTCCTTTTGGAATTAAGCCAAATAATAGAAGAGTTACAGTAAAGTAGGCAAAGGAAGACATTATTAAGTATAATAGTCTTCAGGAATAGACTTTATTCACTATCATTACATTTTTCTCTTTAGACTTTGCTTGAAGTCATTCTGACTTCATTTTTCTCTGCCTTCTTTGGTTTTGAGATTTTCAGTGGTTCCCCTTATCAAATAATTCATATCTGTTGTGCAAGAGGTTATCACCACAAAATAATAGCTTTATGCAGCATAACTAGACACCAGGAATGAATTTGATTTCTAATATCTCAACCTACCGTACACATTTGTCATATGAAAAATAAGAAATGTTAAAAAATGGATCCAAAATGACATCTCTTTCACTGTTGGAAACTGACCCTTTCCACACACCCCAAACCTTAGAAGTGTTATCTATTCAAGCTTTTAAAAGGTTAGTCAGGAAAAGCACCGCTGGCTGTTACTACTTATGAATATAGAACAATCAACCATTTTTCATGTAAAATCCTATTTGTTTAAAGAAACACTGTGAAAGTTTGCAAGTTTGCAATAGAGCTTGCCGAGGAGAGAATGAGTCATTAACGTCATGAACTAAGATAAGGCAGGAGAGGAAAAATCTTCTTTCAATACCTTAACAGAATATAATTGTTTAATTCACTAGTCTCTGTCTACAGCTTTGACAGTCTCTCTTAATGGTTCCTCTAGGCTCCTTATAAAAGGTAGATATAGTCTGTGAGCATCGATAATGCATTTTTATGTCTACAGCTAAGAAAATGCTTGGTCATCTGCTTAATTATTGGATTGGTGTCTGGTAGTACATACTGTCTTGAGTGTCTCTCCATCATCTTGTATCTGTGTCACTAAACCAGGGACATTGTTGCTTGCCAATTTTCTGGTCTGAAAGCCATTTCCTTACCTATGTTGCTTGATAGGCTGTCTTCCTCTGTCAGGAGACAAGGCTTCAGGGAAAGATTGAGTGCCTGAAAAACTAGACTCCATAACTTTTCCCATCACAGGTCCAGGATGCCTGTCTGTCTTTGAATACTGTGGTATAAAGAACAAAAGCAATTAATACTTTAAAAGCAGAATACAGAGTTCATGTTATCAATATCTGAAATGAAAAAGAAGAGTGGTGAAATCATTTAATGTAAAATGTTCACTGGGAGAATAAGAATTAATTGAATAACTTGTGCATATTGGAAAGCACTAATGTGATACTTACTGTTAAAATGTTGACATTTACCATTTGAAAATATTCAGTGGTATTGCAGTATTTACAATTATCTCTACTCTGAGTATTAGGGAATGCTATAGTAGCTTTGGTCTACAGTAGGGAGTTATTTTGAAATACCCCCCTTATTTCAAAATAATAAATGGAGCATCCACACTACCAAGCCCGTTATTTCAAAATAACAGGCTGGTTATGTCAAAATACTTATTTTGAAATAGCTGTAGTATGGACGTTCCACTGCTGCTATTTCAAAATAACTACTCCACAGAGTAATTTGAAGTAATTACTTCATAGTGGCCTCCTTCCATTAACAGATGGAACTAACAAATCCCAAAGAAAAAAAACTTGTATTCAAATAAATAATTCAAATGGTAGATCCAAACATCCTTCTGGGAAAGTCTACATCCAGATTTGCAGTTAGTGACTCAGGCCCTACATTTACACTGGGTTTACATTTACAATCTAAAAGTAGTTGGTATTTTAGTGGTACTAGGGTATGGTATGTGAGCATTGATCCTCATCTAAACCTCTATAATCTAGAAATTTGGAGAGTGAAATGAAATAGGAACAGACTCTCTTCTGATGACATACTAATTTGTCTTGCTTTGAGATTTGATGGAAAATACAGCGAGTGCTTCTCTACTCTGGCCTAGGATGGAATGTGAAAATATTTACATATAATCTCTGCACTAACACAAGAATAACATAACTTTTAAAAACTCAAAATAAATTCCATGTTGTATGATGTGAGGAATGGATACATTTGCTGTTTGGTTCTTATTTTAACAAACCAGTTTGCTCATCCATAAAGGGCACTGGGTAATATCCCAGAGAGATGAGAACTGGATCTGCATTTTCACATAGATGTTAAAGAACTAGTGCAGTTGGCAGCTTTCTTAGGCTACCCAACAGTTATTTAAAGTTAGCCTGGTTGGTCCTGTTTCCAACTTGGTGTTTCTATATATCACCAATATATGCATTCTCTTTGCAATAAAGAAACTCTTGTGCAAGATATGACATGATACAAGTTAATGCCAGGATGCCTAAATCATTTAAGTTCCCTAGAAAGTCCCAGATGATATTATTAAACAACCATTATAGTAAAAAGGGCAACAGTAATTCAATATAAACTGTCCATGGTGAAGAACTGGTACAATTTCTGTCAGAACGCGGCTCTTTGTCATAGTTATTCTGTCGCCTAACAGAAAAGGCCCTACATTTAGTGCACATAAAAACTAAAATACCCCCTTTCTTCAGTTTCATCATGTCCAACTGTCTTCAATGAAATCAAAAAGGGATGGCAGAAATCTGAGATCTAGCCAATTTTAAAAATGAGTTAAAATAATTTTAGTTATTACTTCCACCCCTGAATCACCTGGCCATTTTCTGTGTCTAAACAAACACGTTTTCCCCTTGTCTTTTTCGTCTTTCTGCTTGCTGTGAGAAACATCCACACAAACATCAGAGTAAAATGATTCTAAAGCACAGGGAGACAGGACAATGAAAGTAACTATATATACAAAGTGTTGTCAAATGCAAAAGTAAACACATTGGCAAACTTCAGTAAATGGATTATATGTTCTTATCTATTTCAGTCACTGTGAGCTTAGTTATCATTCATAACAATAGCAGGTAAAATATTTTCAGACTGAAACAAGACTTTTATGGTGCCAGCTTTCCTAAAGGTTTCATAATTTAATGGCTTCCCTGCCAGACGCAGAAAGGAAACTGCCTTTGATTTTTAATTTGAATAAATTGGGATGATTTAGTTGGGTGTGGTCCTGCTTTGAGCAGGGGGCTGGACTTGATGACCTCCTGAGGTCTCTTCCAGCCCTAGGATTCTATGATTTTATGAAATCAATTTGATCTACAAAAAGAATGAACTGTTAGCTTGAGAAAGTTATTCCTCTCCCTTCTTGCATGCAATTAACTGGAGGTCCAAATGGCTTGTAAGACCATGAGTGTGCAGTGAACCATAAACAACAGTTAGGGCTCTGCTTTGTCTTTTGATGGACCAGGACAGCGGTTCTCAAACTCTACTGCACTGCTATCCCCTTCTGGAAACAAAATGTACAACATGACCCAGCAAGAGGGACCAATGCCTGAGCCTCACTGCCCTAAGTGAGAGGGCCAAAGCCCAAGCGATGCTACTCTGAATGGGTGAGGGCTACAGTGAAGCCCAATAGGCAAGCCCAAGGCAGAGGGCCAATAACCTGAGCCCTGCCACCATTGGCTGACACCCTCGGATGGTGGGGTTTGGTGCTGCAGCTCCACACCTTGGCAAATGTCAATCTGCCCAGGCAGACCCATTAAAATGCGGTTGTCACACACTTTAGGGTCTTGACCCACAGTTTGGGAACCACTGAACTAGTATGAACAGTCATTGCGGGCTGGGGCAGAAGATGGTACAATTTATCTGTTCTCCTCACACATGAAGGAGGGACAATGTATTTCTAAGTGTCCATGAAGGCTGGATAAAATACCAGCCTATTTACCACATTTTCCAACAGGGACTCTGCATTTAAGTGGATTAATTACTAGTGTACCTTAACTGACAGCCTTATTTCTTCAGTATTACATTTACCTCTTACCCATAATCATGATGTTAATTCACACAGGAACTAATAATAGATCTGTATGGCCTGAGCCCATACTTTTGCCCACAATGGCAAAACACACAAGGACTCCAGTTGCAATCTGTCAAGATACAAGTTTATAAGTACTTTTTGGTTTTTGTCTTGAGAACTTTTAATGACATCTTGTCTGTAGAAATGTGTACTGATGCCCCTTGTCTCAAACTTATTTAGATTTGTACTCATTGCCATACAGTTAAAAAAGCAGCTTTAAATGTCAACATCTTGTTATGCAACAAATGACTCAATTTCTCTATAGAACAGTCCAATACAGAAATTATTTTTTACACCCTGCAGCAAAATGTGAAAAGACTGGAATAAGGATTTGGGACTCTGATCATGGAGAATATGAGAATAATGGGCAAATTTGGAGCCAATGACCACAAATCCCTGAAACCAATCCGGATGAAGATTGTGGCCAGAAAATGAAGCAGAACAAGAGTTCTATACACCAAAACGGTGATGAGGAATTAAGAAAACTCCTGCAAAAGGTGCAGTGGGAGGGAAATAGGATGATGTTACAAATATATAATGAGAAAAGTAGGAGTACCAGATAAGCAGTAGCACTGAATTTAAATCAATATTGACCCAATATTAATGGCACTGTCTTAAATATATCTTTAAAAAGAAAAAAAATCACAAAAGTAGATGTTCAAAGAAGAAGATAATTACTATTGATAAGCAACAAGTAAAGTATGACAACACTTGCAAAATATATACAAACTGATCCAGATTCAAGACATCCCAGGAATCAGCTGGAGTTTATTTCTGAAATTGCTGAACAGTATTGCTAGAATTTTTTTTTTAACTGATAGACAAATAGGAATGAACGAGGAAATAATGAATGTAGTAATAGAGAAAAGAAAGTTAAAGTAACCCTGCCCATTAGTACCATATAAGTCCAGACTAAATACCTAAAAATTAATGGAAGAAGTGTTGAGAGGGAAAAAAACAAACGGGGAGTAATAAAATCACAAGCCATAAGCAGCAGGGGTTTATAAATAATAATACATCTTTAACAAACAAGACTGCTGATTTGTTTTATAGAATTGCATAATTAGTGGTTAATGGCAGACGTAGCATATTTGGATTATAGCAGTAAAGCATTTGCTGTTTCAGAAAGCTTTGACAGTTTGTCATGTGGATTGTAAAATGGCTAAATGACATAAGAGCATCAGAACAGCCACACAGGGTCAGACCAAAGATCTAGCTCAGTATCCAGTCTTCCAACAGGGGCCAATGCCAGGTGCCCTGGAAGGATGAATAGAACAGGTAACCATCAAGTGATCCACCCACCGTCGCCCATTCCCAGCTTCTGACAAAGAAAGGCTAGGGATTGGCTAGTAGCCACCGATGGACCTAACCTCCATGAATTTATCTAGGTCTTTTTTGAACCCTTTATAATCTTGGACTTCACCACATCCTCTGGAATGGAGTTCCACAGGTTGACTATGCATTATGTGAAGACATACTTCCTTTTGTTTGTTTTAAATCTGGTACCTATTGATTTCCTTTGGTGACTCTTTGTTTTTGTGTTATGGGAAGGAGTACATTACTCTTCTTTATTCACTTTTTTCCACAACAGTCATGATTTTATACCACCCCAGATATGATTTTATAGTATAACATAAGATAATGATTCCTTGCAATATACTAAGTTGAGGGTAGATGGCTACATTTTCATATGACTCTACAGCTCTTCCTGTGTTTCTTTTTAAGCCTCATAACTTTCCAGAAGAGGTGAAATTGCAGATGCTCTCTAGGTTAAATGCTTACTTAATTGGGATTTAGAAAGAACTAACCTTCTTCGTACATTTTCCTACATGCTATTAATTTATGGAACAAAACAAAAGACCACGTGTTTTCTTCTTAGATCTTTCTAAATGATTTGTACTTTAAATGTAATCCGGTTACATTATTAGGAGTAAAGCTTACTTCGCTAAGAATGTCTCTATTCCTAACACATATACCTTCATAAAGCATCATTCTCTTGACTCCAGACTTAGGTTAGATGTTTAACTAGAAAAGATGATGCTTCATTCCCTGATCAGGGAGGCAGGTCTGCCACGTGTTATATGGAAGAGGTATTAGTTTTATAATCTATTACAATGGATTTTTACAACAGAGGATGATTGCCCTGGTTAGTCTTATATGGAGAAGGAATATAAGAACATACATAA